CACACCTGCACCACCCAGAGAGCATGCACCCCCACACCTGCACCACCCACAGAGCATGCACCCCCACACCTGCACCACCCACAGAGAACATGTGCCCCCAGAGAGCTTTCACCCTTTACCTCACTGCCCAGAGTATATGCACACCCACACCTGTACCACCCACAGAGCATGTACCCCCACATCTCCACCACCCACAGAGCATGCACCCCACACCTGCACCACCCACAGAGCATGTACCCCCACACCTGCACCACCCACAGAGAGCATGCACCCCCACACCTGCACCACCCACAGAAAGCATGCACCCCACACCTGTACCACCCACAGAGAGCGTGCACCCCATACCTGCACTACCCACAGAGAGCATGCACCCCACACCTGCACTACCCACAAAGAGCATGCACTCCATATCTCCACCACTCACAGAGAGCATGCACCCCCTCACCTGCACCACCCACAGAGCATGCACCCCACACCTGCACCACCCACAGAGAGCATGCACCCCATACCTGCACCACCCACAGAGAGCTTGCACCCCCACACCTGCACCACCCACAGAGAGCATGCACCCCAATACCTGCTCCACCCACAGAGAGCTTGTGCTCCATCTCATCTTCCCACAGAGAACTTGTGTCTCCACTGTCACCCACAGAGTACTGTACCCCTCTACCGTCCCCACAGAGCATGTACCCCACAAACAGAATGCACCTGCCATTGGCCACCTGCATGGAGCACGCACCCCACCAAACTGACATGCTAGCTGAAAGCAAACAGACGCCCCTTTATCCCCTTGTGGGGGTATACACCCCGGGGGTAGGCTCACACATCCACACATGTGCAAACCATGTGCACAGGGCCAAGCTGTCTGAGCCAGTCCAGAGGGTGTGACACGCTGGCTCCTTCCCCAGCAGGGGACACAGCCCAGCCATCTGAGACACCACATAAAATGACACTAAGAATTGGATGCCACTCATTCGCCTGGACCCTAGCAAGGTGGTGCTGGAGTCAGCTGTGTCCCGATCAGCCACGCTGGCCAGCCACAGGCTTCCTGGGGCCAGACACCCCCACCCCCAGTAGGCCAGCCCTCTCCCGGGTGCCCATCTCGAGACCACAAGGTCCTGTCCTGATATTAGGAGGGCCATTCTGCACAAGTCCCTGCGTCACGGGCAGATGCGGCCTCAGAGGTGGTCAGGGGCCATGTCCCAGGAGTCTGAGCTGGCCACACACTGAACAAAGGAACCCAGCAGCCATCCCACCCCCACCCCCAGGTCCTCCTCCTCAAAGCCAAAACCACAGCTCCACAATCAGAAAAGCAATCTGCCTTGAAAAGAGAAAGTGGGTCAGGCCAGAGACACTTCCTTGTGAGTGAAACTGAGAGGTGATCCCAAAAGCTGCCACACCCTGAATCCCAGTGCCCAGCAGGGGGAGGCTGGCCCACTCAGAGGACCCACAACTGAAGTGCTCGGTCAGCCGGGGGAAACTGTTCCCCAAGGACAGGCTCGCTGACCTCCCTACAGACATGCCTGGGAGAACTGCAGCCCCTGGGAATGTGTCAGGGGACCAGCAGGGGCCTGGGGTCAGTAGCGGGCGGGGAGGAGGCCAGCAGACAGGATGCAGGGTAAACAGCCCAGCTTCCAGGTAGTCTGTTGCAAGGATGCAGTCTCAGGTAGGCCACACCTGGCTCTACGGCTGATGTGAACAAACATGTACAGCAGGGCTACTCAGGTCCCAGAGTGCAGAGGACGCACAGCACCGGAGCAACAACGAAACCACTGCCCTCGGCCTGATTCTGTCTTGTACCTGACGCCCCAGCAGGCCTGAGACTGAGAATCTTCACAGGACGAAGACATGTGTTCACATGCATGCAGACACACACACACACGAGTGCCCACACGTGTACATGCATGCAGGCACACACGACCCCACTCACACATGTGCATGTGCACACACACGTGTGACCACATATGTACACATATGCAGGCATACAGGAATATCCACACGTGCAAAGACATGTATGCGTGCACCCACATGTGTACACAGATGCAGACACAGAAGTGTCCACACTTGCACACTCATGCAGGCACACATATGAGTGCATATGCTTGTGCACATCTGCAGACATGGATACAACTCTTTCGCATCCACTGCCTGGGGGATCTGAACCACCAAAGTGCTTGGCCTTTTGGTCAGCAGCACCAGGCTCCCTGACCACTAGACAGGGGGAAGGCCCGGGTCACAGCCGTGAAAGACACACTCCCCCCTCAGGCAGCATCGCTCTGCAGAGTGGGACACAGTAGTGCCCGGCTCTAAGACGCTGGCTGATCGTGGCTCCAGCAATCAAGGGGGCGCCAGCAGTCCAGGGGCTCCCAGCTCATTCCCATTACTGTCCCCGTGCACTCAGATTCTTCCTTGGTCAGTCATGATTGAGGTGGACATCAGCCATGACTGAGGTGGACAGGCTGCGTGTCCTTCCTGCTGGCTTTTGAGTCTCTTCCTCATCCATTCTCAAGGGGAAAAGGCCAGCTGTGGCTGAGAGGGCAGCACCTTTTGCTCAGGAGCCCAGGTCACACTCTGTGCCCCTAAGGCCACCCGAGACACTCACTTTCTGGGGGAACAGAAGGCGTCATGAAATGGCCTGCTGGCCGGCCCTCCTGCCCGTGACTCCTGGTCTCTGGGATGTGAGCCATGTGACAGCACCATGTGAGCATGTGAAGGCTTTCGGTGGCTGGGCACAGGCAGGACGACTCTGGACCTTCGATGTGGTCAGGAGTGAGGGGCTCGGCCCACTCCGTCCCAAGATCAGGTGCTCCAGACAGAACATGGGGTGAACCCATCAGTCAGGGACCAGGTCTAGAAAGCTCCAGGACAGGCATCTCCCAGACCCGCAATGCACCTCACCTGAGTGACCCTGTGTGGACACAGGTTTGATACGTTCATGCAGTCCCAGGCCTGCTGGTGTGGCCCCGTGTGGGCATTGCGTGTGTTACGCTCTTAAGGGTGGATC